GCTACACGTGATTACAACAGACTCCGTAGCGACTTTGTATAAGTAGGACCAGGGAACACAATACAGCTGTGTAAGGAGAGGCAGCAAAGCACTCTTCTAGCAGCTGACCTTTTAAAAAAAACATACTATAAACTTTTAAAATTTATTATTAGGTAGTAAAATCTGAAGAGTAGGGCAGTTATTAACAGCCACTTGAAATGTCATTCTACATTAAGCTCTTTAAAAAAAAGCCATAGAAGAATATAACCAAGATTATCTGCATTTCTTGAGATTGCTTTAAAGTAAATATAAAGTTAAGATTGATTCCTGGTGATTTCCCTTGCAGTTTTCTTTGCACAATATGGAACCAGTTTGCCACAGCTTTCATGCGGAATATTTTTGTTCTGTTTTGGATTCTCCAAGCTAGCTGAGAGCTGAAGGGCTTCCTAGTGGTCCCCCATCTAAATACTGACCAGATCCAACTTTGCTTAGCTTTTTGAGATCAAAAAGTCAGCTTAGTGTAGCCACCCTCAGACTGTTCTTCAAAAGAAAATCAGGTGGTGTGAGCTCACAGAGAAATGATGCTTCCAGACCAAACTTTTATTGTGCAGCCACTGAATGTTAGAATAGTTCAGCTGTCACTGTCTTTCATTGGCCATTCATTTACCTTCTTATAACCTCTTCCATTTGGCTTCCAAATGGTTTAAAAAACACACACACAATTTTTTCAGACAAGGCTATATTTCTCTGAATCTCACTTTTTTTCTTTTTTCTTTTTGGCTTGTTTGATTGCAGTATGCAGATCATTAGCTCTTAGCTCCTGAGAGAAAAAGGAGAGTGTTAAAAGCCGTCTTTCCTGCCTGCAACAGGAAATTTTTTTTTTCCAACCAGCTAGCTCTTTTTAGCTAATAAAGTCAGTAATAGGTATAGTTACCTTTCACTAGCTCCATTATCCACAATTTATTCATTAACAGTGGAAGCAGGAGTATTTTTTTTAATCACTCTTCAATTCACCACCACAATCTGAACTCCTCCAATGGTGCAGAGAAGGGAATTATGAAATGGGAATAAAAACAATAAAAATTACCTCCAGACTTCTGCATTCAGTGCATCTTTTGACAAAAACCCAGTATTTTGTCATCCATCTAAATGGAAAATGACAGATTTTCCATTTAAATGTGTTCAACAAAGAACCACTAATTGTAAAGGCTTGTAATATTTTTAAACTGGAAAGCCAAAATAATTTATCTTCTCTGAATGGATAAATGAGTTATTCCCATGTCCACTAAGATATGATTTTATATCGTTGTTGGTTTCATGACTTGAACAACTGATGGGGGAAAAGTAGCTGTTTTCTCACCTACTGCTAAAGCACTAACATGGAAACACTGGTAGAACCACTGGAGAAATGCACTGAAGTATTTGCATATTTACAAATCCTGAAGTTTGACCTTTGTTAGCAATCTGCACACTTAAAACGACACCTAGGCTTAAAACGTAATCATTAGAGTCAGTTTTGCAAGAAAAGGTATGGACAAGCAGAAGAAACTGAAACACTCTGTCCCTCATGCCCTCGTCACTTCCAGATTGGACTACTGTAATGTACTCTACATGGGGCCGCCCTTGAAGAGTATCTGGAAGCTTCAGCTGGTGCAGAATGTGGCAGCTATGTGCGCTCCTAGAAGCACATATATTACACCTCTGCTCCGCAAGCTGCATTGGCTGCCAGTTTGCTGCCGGGTCCAATTCAAGGTGCTGTTTTTGACCTTTAAAGCCCTTCATGGCATGGGGCCGGGTTACCTGAGGGACCGCCTCTCCCCGATCACATCAGCCCGTCCCGTAAGATCCAGCAAGGAAGGTATGCTATGTGCTCCATCGGCCAGGGACTTGCATTTGGTGGGTCCCAGGAGGCAGGCCTTCTCTGCTGTGGCTCCCTCCTTGCGGAACAGTCTCCCCCTTGAAATGGGGCTTGCCCCTCCCCTGGTGTCCTTTAAGAAGTCCCTCAAGTCCTGGTTGTGTAATCGGGCCTGGGGGGTCTTTGGGAACTGGAGACATTCTTAGATGGCACCGCTGTAATTGATATTCTGCTGTCTCCAAGGGGTTTGTATATTTTAAAATCGATTTTCTGAACTGTGTGATGATGTTTTTATTCTAACAACAACTTTTTATCTTTTTATAATGCCTATTTTTATTCACTTATTTTATTTAATTGTTGTAGGCCACCCAAAGTGGCTTTGTGTGAGATGGGCAGCTATATAAATGTGACATATAAATAAATAAATATTAGCATTCAAGAAGTGCAATGGATGCCAACCTGTGGTCTAAAATCCAGCCATTTGTGGCTTGACTACATAATCCCTGCTGTAAGCCCCAATGTGCGTGCGTGCGTGCACGTGTCTGCCCCAAATCTTGCAAGATTAGACAATGGAGTAAAATTCTGGCATTCTTTCTGTCTTGCAAGCTTTCAACAAGAACATCAAAATCCCATCAGATGTGATGGTCTGGCAAGACATTGGCCGTTTTTAAGATTGGTCTTATTTGGTACTCACGATGACCTTGTTACAACTCACATGGTGGTCCTCAAAAAAACGTGCAGTGAGGGTGCCGTGGTTCACTTACTGGAGAAGGTGGAGAACCAGTGATGGAGTACAGAACTACAAACACTATAGTTCCTCACTTACTGTAATTCTATATATTTTAGTAACTTTATAACGAAACTGACACCAGAATCTTGGCTTTGAAAATTGGTTACCTTGGTTGCTCTGAAAGGGAGGCTCATGCTGTTAGTTTGAAAACAGGTTAAGAAGCTGTCCCGTGGAAAAATATAATTTAAAGCCATGTAACTTCTATAAATAAATATGGATCAGTCATAGTGTCATAGTGGACCAGAAGTTGGAAAATCTACAAAGAAGCTAAGGGGCTAGTTTTTGGAGATGGAGAAAAAGTTGACAGCTAAAGTGAACAGAGCTCAGAGCTGACAGATGAAGCCTTTGCCAACCTGGTGGATGATAACCTGAAGATGATACCTTACTGGGTGAAGAGAGCAGGGAGACAAGTTATGATAAGGGTTTGTGGTAGACCTGCAGCATTAAAAGGAAATTCAGCAAGAATCTTTGATATTAGTTTGGTTTGCTAAACAAATCATGCCTTAGCAGAACCAGTTTATTAAAAAAAAAAAGAAAAACATATTTGGTGGTTTCCTGTAACATTCCAAGGCAAAACCATGTTTTGCAAACATCTGAGTACGTACAATGTGCCAAGCCAGAACTCACACACACACACCACCACCTTGTGGCTAATCAGCGGATGAGCGCTCTTATTGAATCATCCTATAAGCCTGGAGCAGTATGGAAAATTGCTTGATGTTGGACTAGTGCTTCTAGCTAGGGCTAAAATAGGACAAGTTTTGACTTGTAGTTGACCCTCAGCATACTCATGAGAATCCGAAACCAATCCTAGTAAATTCAAGCATGTTTAAGCAATCTCAATTCTCTCTCAAAAATCTTTGTCATTTTTGTCATTCTTTGTTCAGTGATGGAGCAACCCGATTGGATCGTTTTCTATCTTTGCTGAAGTTCAACAGAACAAAACAAATAAAAACTAAAAAGAATCGCTCTTCCAACACCATCTTGGGTCCTCTTCTCCACATTTTATTCCTTTTTGTAAATATATTTCTTAGTTAAGATCTTAATTTTGTTTGCCTTGTACAGTTCTTTCTAGAAGTGGATTCATTCTCATCTATAAGCTAAGGGCAAGGCGATTGAGTGTGCCGTAGAACCAGACTTTGACATTAACACACACACAAGAAAACCAGGAACAAAACAGATCAATCACAGTGCCAAATAATGTGAAGAAAACCCATGGCGGGCTTGCTAATACACCATGGAGACACAAACACCCCACTGCAAAAATAAAATCCTCACATACATTAACTGGTTTGCGCATGTTTAAACTAGGACAAGGGCCCCTACCTGCCAGACTAATTCTAACAAGTGCCTTTGGATGATTCCAGCAATAACCATTAAAAAATGTATCACTGCTTCATGGTGGGGTACTTTTGTCTTGAGTACTTCCTAAAATGAAATTAGCTTTTTTTTAAGATGAACATTTAAGTTCAACATTCAAGATCAACATGAGAGGAACATCTCTGAACATTGAGCAACACTATATAGATCCTTAGATCACTATTTTAATCATGGGAGTATGCAGCCAACGTTTCAGATCTCAAAAAGGAAAGCAGATGTGGACATAATGAGTACCTGAATGGAAGACCATTAGAAATCTTGGGGGTGTACATTAAAGTGGGAAGTTTAAAAAAAATCCAAGGCAATGGCAACTCACTTCTACTGTGGTTTGAAAAACAACATGGACATGTCCAAGAGTTACTAGGAGTCATGGCCAACTTGTAGACAACTTTTTTTCCTAGGGAATTCATGCCTATTTCTCCTCAGAGAAGAATCTAGAAACTAAAAATGTAGACCTAGTATAAGAATAAAAATGTGTGTCAAGAATAAACCACATTATGGGAGAAGTGAAAAGAAACCAGGTAAGAGAACTAGAATTAAGCAAATCACAGCAATAACTGCTTATAAAATAAAAGTCAAGTAGAATGATAGTGGTGTGAAAGGGCCTGCCTCTCTACAGCATTCCCAGTTCTGGAGAAGCAATGGCATTAATACAATTTTTCGTAAACATGAGAGCTTCTTTAGTTATGTCTTTCCAGCTGCTGGTCTTCAGACTGCTTCATTTACTGAAATGCGGAACCTTCCCATTCTTGGAAACCCTTTAAGATTATTGAGTCTCCTGGAATCTCATGTATGTTTCCCCAAATTAAATTACCACAGTATTCATTCTATAAGAATTGCCAGAACTGATGGCATTTTCTATCCTTTCCAAAAAACAAACAAACCAACCTGAACTATGCTGCCAATTCAAACTTCAACCCCCATTGTTTCATCTAAAACTAACTGGCACTGAATTTAAATGAAATTAAAAACAATTCTTTTTTTCTTATTTAATAAATAATATCAAAAAGTGAACTAGTTCATATTTACAATATAGGAATAAAAACAGTTTTGTCTAACTTCTGCATTTTTTTTACAAGTGTTATGAGAGTTTTCATATCCAGTTTAGCGGAGTCCAGATCTTCATGACTATTCTTGAATTCTGGCATGGATCTGTCCTTTCTTCTGCTTTGCATCTGGATTACCTTGTTGTTCCCTGTCCGAAAAATGCAACTGGCTCCTTCTATGGAGAAATACATCAACATTTCAACAAGCGTGTGATTATTTCCAAGTCACATGTTTTTTGATGAATTAAGTCACATGAAGAGTAACAGAACATTTAATTCAATCTTAACAAACCTCAGTGAATTTTTTTTTAAAATCAAGTATTCAATGTGCTAATTACACACTGTACACGTGACAACAAACATCATCTTGTCTACATTTCATTTTTATTTATTCCTGCAAACTGCTGTTGTAGACTAACTTGATGAAGCAGGTCACTGAGTAGATTGGTTTTCATATAAAGGTTATGGTGAAGACTCGCTCGGCCTTCTTATTGCTACGAAACTTTACAGGTGCGTCATTTGCAAAATAAAACTCTTTAGGGACCAAATGACCATGTGCACAGACAAACACAAGAAATATGTAGTAACTAGAGCCTGCGAGCCGTGTTTCACCTGGGGAGTGACACACTACGTTCTAACTGGCCGCTATTACATAAAGGCTGCCCAGAAGTAAACCCTACTGAGCTCAGAGAGGCTTGCTGCTGTTCATACTTTCAGCCTATTTACCTACACAAGCATACACATGCACACTCACTACTATCCATAAGGAAAAAAACCCCGCAAGGTCTCGCCATCCTTCTCCACACGACTAGAGCTCTGCCCAGCAGCTTTTTGCCCACCAACTCAGGCAGCAGCCAACTCAACAGGAATTTCTGCCAGGAGTACTGGCAGCTATCTATGGTAGCTATCTATGCCCGCTTGGCAAAGACGGCTACCATCACTGGGATGAAGAATGGAGGGAGCTCAGCAAAGGTTTTTTTGCTTCCAAGAGTGCACGTGGTAGTCTAAAATAATAATAACAAAATCATTGTGAATAAATCCTTTTACATTGCATGTGAATACTTCCAAGTCAGCATTCATGAGAGATGGTTACAGATGTTCCTCCTTGTTCCCCATCCCCAAGGCCCAGACTCATGCATTATCTGCTTGTTACTGGAAGTGTGCTGGAGGGCACAGACATGATGTTGAAGCAGTTATGCATACTGCAGTTTCAATGGAAAGGGGGAAAAACATGTATCAGAGAGAAAAAAACTGAACCTTGTTTCTGACACAAAGCTGCCACTCAAATCCTACATTTACAGTGTTTGGGGAAAAAAAAAGTTTAAAATATTGGACACACAGAAGTACACAATTCTGAATTCCATCACATACAGAGCTTTCAAAAAGTGAAGGTAAACAGCATGATTAGTAACTGAAGCAGATATTTCATTCTGCAATGAAAGCCACCCTAAAGCTATTTGGTCCAAATTGGGTTGCATTGGTAACAACGGTGCATCAGAAGTATGCTGATTGGAAGAGGCTTCAGGATGATCGACAGGAATCTTTGAGATCCCGACAATTAGAGAACATCAGCTGAAAAATTCAACCATGATTTAAAATGTAACTGCGATGCTCACAATTTAACTGTTCCCAAGCAGAACAAAGCAAGTTCACTTTGCTTTTAGATTATCAAGAAAAAGCTGTTTAAACCACAGTCCAAATAGATTCCCCACTCTGTAACAATGGAAGCATCAGGGCCAGATTACAAATCAAGTAGAAGATTTTGATTAGAAGGTCACACGACAGGGGGTAGGACCTCCTTGTTCTAAGGGGCGAAAAGACTCCTGAACAACAGTAGGAAAAAGCAGAGTCCCTTCACCAGACATGTAGCTTTATCATGGGCCTGATGGATTTAACATTCACAGATGCACTCCTCCCACCTACTGAATGTGGGGAAAATGGGACTGAATTGGTGCTATAAAACTGACTGCCAATTCCAATCAGGAAGTTACAGTTCCACCCCTTTACTCTGAGATAGCTCACAGGCAGCCAGCTGACTCATAACAGAAGGGAACAGAGGATGGCAGTTTTATTCTTGTACAAATAACGGTGGGAAAGAAATGCAACATTAGCTTATTTGAGGTTTCTGTTCTAAGACCTGAACAAATACTTCAATGACGTAAAAATGCAGCTGATAAGAGATAAGACTCAGAAAGTAAAAGGCATGCCACATGAGCTCTTCTCAGAGCAATGAGGCTCTGGAGACTATTTCCAAATCTAACAGCATCACAAAAGATAACGTAATTATTCTTCCCCCCAGCTCCTCCAATAAATCTCTAAAAGCCAAGAGTAAAAGATACTGTTGAAAACTGAACTGATTGCCCCCCTCCAATGCTCTCATAATTGTTACAGGTAGATAAAAAAGACAGAGAGAGAGAGAGAGAGAGAGAGAGAGAATAAGCATGTTTTCTACCAGATTCCTTCAGAGATACAAATACCAAATATATACTGTTCAATAATGGCTGACAGAAATTAAATAGATCAGCTGGCAAGCAATATGCAAAGAGGCTAATGCTGAACTATGGCAAAGGGTTTTAAAAGTTTGCCGAAACAGCTTGTGAAGGCTGAAAGGCTTATAACAGTTTTAATCAATTTTGTATGGGACAATTCAGTTCTCTGACTCTAAGGAAAACCAACATACACTACACTACACATAGATTTCCTGTACATCACAGTAAGGAACAATGAAACAGGAAAAATACGGAGGGCTGTGAGCAAATGCTAGGAGGAGGTTAAACAAGAGATAAGGCTACAATAAATCCTTGCCTTTGGTCACTGAAAAGAATGAGATGAGGCAAGGCAGAAACTGGTTATTATTAAGAACCAAGAAAATCAGTAAAAAATCATGTTATTTGGAAATGATTAAATGGCATGAAAAAAACAACACACAGGAACGTCTGTGTTGGAAATAAAAGCCTGTTTTAAAATAGTGGCACTGAATTGACCAACTGGGCTTAGCAGCTGCAGTCTTCAACTAACCAGCCTTTAAAGGGGAGGGGGGGAGAATAAAAGTAATAGCAGTAGATTAAAACTGTAGACTATGTGGAAGTCATTCATGTTGCTTGCCTAGGCACACAAATGCTGCCTTTTAAGAAGTTCAACATTAGCTACTGCACTCTGTCTTCTGTTTATGGAACAATGAAGATTTATAATGAATACAGTAGGTCATCTTTATGATGGAAAATTTTTCCACCGAGACTAAACTATGTTGATCCTAATTCTGAGCTTGCAAATGAAGTTATAATTTATTTATAATCTGCAATCAATTGTCCAGAGAAGGGAGGGGTAAAGACAAGACATGGCAAATTCCTAATCAAGTACCAATAAGATATATCTAGTGCAATTCAAGGCCCAATTAACCACTTTTCTTCCAATTATGGCATTTGAAAGTCCACCAGTATATCATACAAGATCCACACAGAGGATCGCCTTGTGCCTAGGCTCAACATGTGTTGGGCTTCTGGATCACCTAATTACCCACCAAACCCAAATCACTAGAATTCTAAAACACACACTATCAGGAGACTCCAATCAATAGAACTTAAAACCTGTGGGATCTTTCATCCATGTTTTGGAATTCTTCACGTACTTCTTACAATAGCTTCAGTCTCAGGACAAGATCCTTTTGAATGCCAAGAAATCCTCCTTAATGGTATTCTGAGGTGCCTCAAGCAATTATACTAGAATGGAAATCAACTGACTCCCCATGAATCACAGGTTTTAAAAATGGCAGCCCTACTGGACCCATTCACAGCAAGCCCCTATGATGCTTTAACCAAAGTGACAATAGAAGAAAACAGTGGTGTAATTTGGTGCTCATTTAACATGCGACTGAGAGACATTTGAACGCTGCACTAGATAACTGGGAAGGAAAAGGGAAAGAATAGCCCTCATCAGTGCTTCTGCAATCAGAAATTACTACATACTAGCAGGTTAGATACAATCTCTTTACATGCAAAGGGGAGAAAAATATATATGGGCATTAGTTCATTAGAAGGGGGTAACACCTGAGGACAGCCATGGTAATTTGTGACAATTCCCAACACAAAATAAAGAGATGCACTCAACAATTCTGTTTGTGAACGATGTTTGCAGTAAATGTTGGTGTCTGCCTATAAGACAGAAAACATGCAGCCAGATAAAGTTATTGGGAGCAGACCAGTTTTTTTAAAAAAAAAATCAAACTACACACACGCGCACACACACTTAACTTACAATTAATAGCAAATTATGTACAAGTGTAGCCAAAAATAAAAATAAAGCCAACCTGAAGAAATCCTGAAAATATTTTTCTGATGCATGTATTGATGGTGAAAGGGAAGAACAAATCCTTTTGAAACACTCACATACATTAGACGCAGGAGCAGTTAGAATAACTGCACAAGAGGCCACATTTGTAATGTTAAAAACCTCAGGAATCAACATTATAAATACATTAAAAAAAAAAGAAACACAAAATAAGAATGATGCACAACAATGGAAAAAGGAGCTCTAGAGTCAACGTATGTTGCATGTATTGCAGGCAAGGCAGAGGCATTTTTAAAGCTTTTGCACAAACTTCATATACTCTTAAAAAAAATATGCTGGCCTTTACAAGGTTCTACTTGCTGAAAAAAAAACAAAAACAAAAAACAAAAAATTCAGAATTCAGTTCATAAAAAGTCACAAGACTTCAGTTTAAAAAAAGCAACAGTTCCAGCCACAGACCATCCATATATATATATATATATATATATATATATATG